ATTATTATTTAGATCACTTCAGTATATTTCCGTATCCTCGCCAAAAGAGCAGTAGCAGCGGCAGCAGCGAAATCTGCAGCACAAACAAAAGAAACAAAACCAAAGTATGAATATGATTCTGATGAAGAGACTGAGGATGGAGGAACATGGGAACACAAAAAGCGCAGAGAAGAGATGTCTAAGACAATAGGTAAGCCATTCTATATCAATAGCATTTTTCACTAAAAATAGATTAGCGCAARACTTTGTAATTGAAATTGGTATGTAGAAAAAATTTGTAAACAAGGCTTCGGTTACATGGAAAACRAGGTGATAATCAGTTGAAAAAAACCATGATTTTTCCATGAACTGGAAACAACAATACAACAAAAAATTGCTGCAGCATATTAACTTGTGTGCTGGCCATRGGTTGTCTATGTTTTTAATCCTGTAATGCACAATCATGTTTCATTCATGAAAAATGCTAATTATTATTCATACATGAACTCATGGTACTCACAGTACTCACTGTCATACCACCATTTGATAAGCAGAGATAACTAGCTAAAATTAGTGTGAGCTGCGTCGGTGTTTCTAATGAAACAGTGATGATAAAAGGGTAAATTTTACACCGTGAACAGATGAAAAAACTTGCACAGTCAGTAAGTTTTTTATCTTTTCATGGTGTAAAATTTACCCTTTTATCATCACTGTTTCATTTGATAAGCAGGTTTACTTTGATTTCATAGTTGATTACAGACTCATTTACTTAGGTTTAGCCTTAATGCTTCATCATCAAAAGAGTCATAAATACTAATGGTAAAGTAAAAAATATAATAGGCTACTTCACCAATCCAAAAAGCTATTAAATTCCATAAGCCTTCACTGGAACATGTGGATATTCTACACGAAATCAAGATACTAATAACACCTTATTTATCACTGTGAGCATGGATTTACGGGTCCCTTTTTGTATGTTTTCACTACAGATGAAGCCAAGAAACTAACAGAACAAGCCAAAGGCAAGCACCATATTGGAGATTTTCTACCTCCAGATGAACTCAAGAAGTTCATAGCTAAAGTCAAGCTAGTAAAGGGTGAAAAGGGATTAGATGAGATTGATCTTTCTGACTATGCTGAGTTCAAGCTTACAGAAGAAAATGTTGGATACCAGATGTTGAAGAAAGCTGGCTGGAGYGAAGGAAAAGGATTGGGATCTAAGGAACAAGGAATAACAGCTCCTATTAATAAGTATGACTAGTTTTAGTGCTTTTAAAAACTTCATTATTTTAAATTGTGTAGTTCAAAAACTTATGAATACACCCCCCCCCCCTCTTTTGAATATTTGGTATTTTGAATTTCTGAGGGGTAGGGGGGTCACAGAAAGAACAAAACTACAGAGTGTTTATGGAAGAAAATTGGAATGTCCAGGGGTAGGGGGGTCTTCCTCTGTGGGAGGGGTATGGATAATTTCTGGAACTACACATATTTAACTTGTGAGTAACCAGGACATTGATTTGAAGCTGAGATTGGACTCAATAGAAATATACACCAATTTCAAAAAATGTTGCCATTGCCAAAGGCAACAGGCAATAGGTCATTTCGAGATGGAAATAGTTTCAACTACTGCAAACTAACATCAATCAGTCTCGGCACTGAGGTTTGTTCTTGACGAGAATAACAAGCAGAAACACAAGTCATTCCAACTATTTTTGGATCTTGGAATGACATATCTTCCATTGCTTTTCACTTCATTGCTTATTGTCTTTGGAGATGACAACGTTTGTTGAAATTGGCGTATACATCAGCAGGAGGCAAGGGGTTGAGCTGAGCTTGTAAGCCWTAAATGTACCTTCCAGTACTTACTAGGTTATGATTTGTTTGTTTTTTTTAGGACTCACACACCAACAGGAGCAGGACTTGGTGAAGAACATGTAGCAGAAGTCAAGTCAGATGATGATGAGTTTGATCTTTATCGTAAACGAATGATGCTGGCTTATAAATTCAGACCAAATCCTTTGGTAAGTGTTTGTGATGTTTCATACATAGTAGGAGTAGGACATCCATCACCTTTAGGAAAAGTTAAATCCTAAATCTAACTGGATTTACTGCTCCATGGTGGACTTAAAGTCTAACAGGTTTTGCAACCTACTTGAYGAGGCTACCAATAGACTGAATAAGAATTTAGGAGTTGATTTTGCAGAGGAAGGAAAACRCAGAGAAAAACCCTTGAAGCACAGGAGAGAACCAACAAACAACTCTACTCACATRTTCAYTTAAAGTGTACACCATTTTCCATAAAACAAAACAAAAGATGCAATGTCTAATTACACCTATTTTGTATGATCATGAAATAGTGGATATACTGTAAYTGGAATWATTATATAGTTGGGATAGTATGTGCGTGCTRATTGGTYGAAAACTGTGCTTTATTARTSAACGTAGCACAGTGCTGATGATGCCATCAGATATTATACAAATTTTCATTAAAATGTGACCCAAGCAACTAGCTATGCTGTAATTTAAGATGACTGAGTTTCTGGCTTCTGTCAATCAYGATTTTGTGACCATTTTGAACAGTCTCTAAATATAAAGGCCAGGAATTCTGGATAGGGAAAACCTGAGTCTGTGTCTGAGGTTTTGAATAATGGTCTTGGTCAATTTTCAAGACAAAAGACACAGTTTTTCCATAAGTTATAGGATGGTAAATAACAGCTTTTTATCCTCATTTGCTATTAATCTTGGTTATGCATTTTTGTTGTTGTTTAGCGGTCACAGGACTGAGATTGAAAATATTGCCATCCAATCAGAA